ATTTTCCAGATCTTAAATTGGAATTCTCCACATAGTCATAATCACTCCAGCACAAGTTACAACACTGTTTTTAGGTATGTTTTAACTCTCTTCAGTGTCCTCGTTTCCTCTCTAGGAGTGAAACAAAATAATGTATCCACTCAGTATAATGTTCTCTTGGTGCCAGCTATTTCTTCCTGCAGTATCATGTCCACTTTAATGTGAATTTTAGGAACTTAATTGTAGACTTTTCCTCTAATGAGTAGATAACAAGAGGATAAAAGCATACAAATATCTTAAGTGAAGCTTTTGGAACAAGTTATTCAATAGAGAAAAAATTTCTAGTCCTGAAAATCTAACATCTTATGGGCTTTTTCTTCTGTTAAAAAGCAGAATTTGCAAAACAGTATTCTTAGCTATTAACAACCGTTATTAAATTACAACAGTAACTAATAATAAGCGCTCTCAAAATTTCATATAAATAACAAGAGCAAAAATCTTACAGTAGCTAGCAAACTGGGTGGGGGAAAAGGACTGAGAAACTTCAGAGGAAAAAAACTGGGGGGAAAAAGGACTGAAAAACTTCTTAGAGGCAACGCTGATAGAGCTGAGCTTAGGTTTCTTGCTTAGAACAAGCTAACTGGAAGAAATATTCTTTCGAATCGTGGGTTCATCTTCCCCTATAAAACATGTTAGTAAAATAAATAGAAAATGTTTAGGGCAGTACCTCTTACGGGTCACAGTGCTTTGCACTGTCGACATTTATCACAGCGAGGTGCAATTTGTACGTCTCTTTTAAACTCCTCACCAGTAGTAGTGGTTTAAAATAAACCACCTCGGAGAAATTTTTCCTTTCTCCCTTACGTTTCCCTCCAATACGCAGAATACTAATCTCTGTTACATGCTAAACATCAAAACGAATTTCCGTATTTATTCACCAGTATCCTAAGTAGATTGTACTTATACTGCTTCCTAGCATCTGGCACAATGCCTGTGCAGTTAATTCCATGCACGTAGCGAAGTACTCTACAAATAAAAATAACACGAATAGATCGTGTTCAAATACCGGTCCTTGAAAAATCATTTTTCTTAGTGTTTGGAGTGATGGCACTGCCACTACACAGGTACAATAAATGGCTCCCAAAATAATTCTACGCAGTTAGAATCGCTGTAAATGCAAAGGTAATCAAACACAGCCATCATTTTTATTGTAACTTATTAAACAAGCAATCACTATTGCGACACTGTTCAAAGGCACAGTGCGTAAAGGAGCTGCCTCCTGTCATCCCAAGAAACCAGAGATCGCAAGAAAAACAACTCTACGCGAAAGTGAAGTCCTGCAGCTCTCACCCCTCCTCCTCCTCACGTCTACAGTGCCCAAGTTCCCGCAACCGTCTGCATCTTTGTATTTCGCCCAAGACACACCCCTGGCGACCTCAGGGGGCAGGGAACCCAGCGCTGCCTCTGCTTTTCCTGCCTCGGAACTATCTAAGCTTCCCGAACCTCCATTAGCCCCTCCAAGCCGCCTCCCTTTCCTCGCCAGGGAGCGAGCCACAAAGAGACGGTGACTCCACTGGCCTCGCCGCCGAGCTCCAGGTTCCTCCGCCCCGAGCCAGCCCGGCCCAGCTCCCCTTCCGGCCGTCCTTCTTCCCACCCCCAACGGTCCTCCGGCCCGGGTCTCACCTCTCCACCCACTCCCTCAGGAAGCGCATTTCTTCGGTGTGCAGAACGCTTGGGTCCTGCTTACACATTTTCACGAAGGCTCGAAGCTCGCTCACTTTGCGGGGGTCCATGGTCGGGAGGCGGCGGGAGGCGGCGGGCGCGGCGGAAGCTTCGGCCCGATTCCAGGCCCGGGCGCTAGTTCAGCGTGACCGTGTAAAGGGGGCGGCTGCCGCGAGGCAGAACAGACTAGAACTTCCCCGGCCCCTGGCTCCTCCCACCCAACGGTCTCGTGACGCCGGGTCCTTCGCCGGTTCATTCCTACTCCCTCTATCTCTGCCCTGCGCACTAGCTAGAACCTTCTAGAAGTGTGGCTGTTCGTGCTGTTGCCTGCCTCTCCACTCACGCATTCTTATATTAACTCAGAACCAGTGCTCTCTTAATGGATCAAGCCCCTAGCCGGTGCTTTCAAGGAGGCGGGAGCTGTCCCCTGCAGGGAGTCATATAGAATAGGTCGTTCTCTGAGTGGGGCCATAAAATGGAACACGACGTCACGACGCCAAAAGGGCCCTCAGGCTGGAGCAGTGGTCGCAGCCGCGGGCGTGACGTCAACACTCTGCGCCGCCACGGGAGGAAAGCCCCGCAAGCGGCGCCGGCCGGAAGGGGAGGAGCGCTCGGCTGGGTTTTCTGACGACGCATCCCTGCGGGCGGCAGCTTCTCCGACTGTTTTTCTCTTTTTCTCCCTGACGCGTGAGCGTGGCAGTCATGCCTTGGTTACTCTCAACAACTAAGCTTCTTCCCGCCGTAGCAAGCGCCCGCAGCCTCTCAGGTTAGACTCACCTCCCACAGTGTCCCTTCTGAGGCGCACCAGGGGGATCCAAGTTGGTCTCAGGCGATCCCTGGTTCGACGGACCCTTCTGCTGGGGCCTCCACTCCCAAACGTTCTGTGTGCTCCTCGGATTTCTTCTCTACTGGCTGCTCCTGAAACAGAGTGGGCCCTGTGTTCTCTCTGTCGTTGAGGTATTCTGGGAGGTCGAAATGACTGCAGAGAGAAAAGTGTGTGCTATCTTCCGAGAGGGGCTGTCTTCAAAATAACTCGGACTCATGGAAGTTGTGTCAGTTTTCACACTTGCTCAGGTGACAGAGTCTCTCACATCAAGTAGTTCTTGTTTCTGTTAGGTTAACCTAAAATCATATTTTCGTGTTCTCAAAGACTTCACATGAGAGCTGGCTCCAGAATGTACAAGAAACATGTTTAGTAATACAAATCTTTTGAGTAGTTCCTCTCAGAAGAGGTAATGTTTGGAAATGCTCCTGAGGCTTTTTCTGTCTGAAAGCCCTGCTTGTGGAGTAGTCCAGGAGTATGGGGGATCGTTTTTTTAGGGTGAACTCTGTCGCGAGCAGTTAATCTGATGAGTATGAAGCTTGATTAGTGAACGCTGAATCATCTACCTTTCAGGCAGATCTGTCAGTGGATCATATGTTAGTTTTTGGGGCCAAGATGTGAACAATGTGTGAACTAGAGCACATTGTATTTGACATCAAAGCTATGTCTTGGTGTATGTTTCTTTTTTTGTCAGTGTCTTGAATTTATTGAACATGGAATGGTAATTATATTAAGACTTACTCCTTACTCTAAAAAATGAAAATAAAAAGTAATCATTGTCCAATGCACAGAACTTGCTCTTTGCTTCTAATAGTTAAGCTGCAGAAAGCTGTCCCTCTGCGTGGGAGTAGGTGAATAGATGTGCAGTTAGTCAACCTTAATCACAGAGGCCACAACTTATGATTTAGTATTGGAACCATTATTCGCTTGTGACTTTTTTTTTCCCCTGTATTTGTTGAGGCTTTGTGTAAAACCTGATTAATCAAGGTTTAGGACTAGGTACTGGATTATACACACCAAGATCTTTGAAAAATGTATTCATTGTGCTTTATTTTGCCTCAATGGAATAAGTAAATTTAACTATACTTCTTAGAGTAACATCATAAATACATGTCTAGTCTTTCTGAACGAATGAATGATCTCCTTGGATCTTCACAGGTCCAATAAGTTAGAGCAAATACTTTACTGATGGGGAACTGAAACTAACACAGTGTCACAAGTCGCAAGTCAGGAATGTTAGTTGTCTGATTGCCACCTAGTCTTTTTCTATTATACTTCTGTTAGGTCTTACTCTGACTTAGTAGAGTCCTTTTGAAACTTTTTATTGAGCCAGAAAGAATGTATCTTCACTCAGTAACTTTTGATTTAGTAGGTATTGAGAATGAATCTCCACCTCCTGGGAGTTGCTCATAGTTTAGTCAGATGATAGAGAAACAACAGAGAAATGAGAATATGACAAAGGATGGTACTAGAAGGTTGACTGAAGTGAGATGGGAGCTCAAGAAAAGCAGTAATGGGTTGTATATATGTTATTCTGGAATTTTACCAAGTTTTAGAATTTGAAAATTTCACTGTCTTTAGGTGCTCATAAATAGAACTTTGAATGTCTGTGGCTCCTGGTTGCCCTTATTTAGAAATCCTCTAGGTGCAGAGTACTGAGTACCATAGGTAACTTTCTCTTCTGTGAAAATCATGCATTCCTAAAGTAAAAAGCTTTGACTAGCTAATTAAGAGTATGTTTTCATTCATTGAAATACAGTTATTCACACCATCTAGTCATCTGAGGAAAAGCTTAATAAAACAATAATACATAAATTATATTTTAAAAGATGAAATCATTTAAGATAAATATAATTGTGAGATGAGGAAACATTAAAAATATTAAAGAATAAGTGGAAAATAACTTTTAAAAGCTTGTTTGCAGTTAATTTACTTAGCGTTGAGCACTAAGCACACACAATTTCTACCATCATGGGAAATGGACAAAAAAGCAAATTTTTGTAATACAACAGACTTGTGGGGAGAAGGAAAAAGTGACATATACTTTCTGGGTGCAGAAATGGGCAAGGAGGAAATGTGTGCATGTCTTTAAAGATTAGGAGATATTTGATTTGAGACTTGGAAAAAAAGGCCTTCACCAAGCAAACTAGAGTAAAAGAGCCATCCTGGCAGAGAGGACATACACAAAGTTGCAGAAGTCTGAAACAGAATGACTGTGCAAGACTTTGCAATCATTAGTAAGCCTGGAGGAGCTTTTTTGAAATATGTTGCTGGGCATGTTAATAGGTATTACACCAAAAGGGTTCTGTGGTCAAATAAGTATAGGAATAATACATTTCATAATGCTCAAAATAGACTAATCCTAAGTCTCTAAGAGGGAAATGTATTTGACATTCATATGTAAAACATATTTGACCATGGAGCCCTTGTTTTGTGGTGAGTCTTGAACTGATATCCCTTGGAACACATTTTGGAAAACGTTGGGCTCAAGCATGAGATGTGTAAGAAGAGGTGATAGAAAATAAAACTGGGAAGAAAGCTGGTGGCTGGCTCACAGAGGGCCTTGTATATTATGTTAAGAAACATTGAGCTTTTTCCGCTAGGCAAGAGGAAACAATTGAATAATTTTAAACTATTGAGTAGATTAAATCTGAATTTTTAATTACCTGTTAAGAATAGAAATAAAAAATGGGCTGGAAGGCATGGCATTGCATTCTCAAATTTTCAAAGACACTGGTTTTTGCTTTTGTGTTGAAAAATTGCATTTTTAAAGTCTGATTAGTGCCACAAATGTGATAACAGATAAATTCTACTAAATATCACACTTTATGTAAGTAGCATTTTAAAATACTCTAAGCTTTTATTTTCTGCAAATAAGCTTTAAATGCTAATTGTCCCCAGTCTCTCTTGTAGAATAAATGACCTTTCCTTCCCACCTACCTACCAGCTAAAAATCAAAACAAAACAGAAGCTCCCACTTTACTATAGCAGTCATTTAAAAATAGTAGATGTTAGAATTTTTTCTGGTTTCCAAATTTAATGCATTGCTATATACCAGTGAACTGTATTTTGCCAAAGGTGATGGGGTTTTCATGCTGTTAAATTATTTGCTCCCATCTATTGGTCACATTAAAATTTACAGTAATTATACTTCTAAGATAAAATATTAAAATAATACGATCAATAAGATCTTTTTGCTTAAAAGAAGAATTCAGTGACAGGGAACATGCAGGATGCAAGTCAATGCAGGAAATTCTTTTTTGTTGTTGCTTAATAAATTCAGGCATCTCAACTGTAGCATATCCAAAATTTAACAGCTGCAGTTCTATCTCAGATTAATGGTACTTCCCTTCTTTCAGTTGCTGAGACTCAAAACCCTGGCTATTGTCATACCCAACATCCAATCTGTCAACAAATTTTCTTTGAACCTACCTTTATAATGTATCCAGAATTTGATCATTCTTTACCACCACCACCTCCACCACTCTGGCCAAGCTACTACAATCTCTCGCCTGGATTATGGCAATAGCCTGATTTCCCTGCTTCTACTGCTTTCTTTGAGTCTGTTTTCAATGACGGCAGCCAGAGTAGGCCTGTTTAAATATGTCAGATTATGTCATTCTTCTGCTCAAAGCCTCCAGTGGCTTCCTGTTTCACATCTTATAACATAGTCCATACTGAAATCTAGCAGCTCTGCATAATCTGATCTCCTGTTACCATTCTTACTTTGTCTACTTGCTCTCATAATTGGCCACACTGGTCTCCTCCAAACATACCTTACACAGCCTGCCTTAGGGACATTTCACTTGCTAGTCCTGATACTACCTGATACACTCTTTGACCAGATATCCACATGACTAACTCCTTCATTTCCTTTAGATCTGTGATCAGATGTAACTAGTACTTTTCCCTATCCTCAGCACCTATGATTAACATTATATTTTACTTACTATTTGTTTATTGTCTCTCTCCAGTTTAGGTACCTGGGATATCCCAGGTACCTAAAATACTACTTCACAAACAGTAGGTACTCAAAAAATACTGTTGAATGAATGAAAGAACAAAAATAATAGGCTAAGAAAGCAATATATGTTGAAAATGCAATAATTGCAGGAAACTAAGAAGTAGTTGTGTTAAAATTAAACTAAGTTCATTTAAGAGAAGCAAATGCATGCAAACGCTGGGTTCAACTTGCTTAACATTGGATGTATCTATAACTTACCTATTTTTCTTTCATTATAACCCTAAATTATGATGGCTAAAGGTGGTATTTTAGAGTAATGTATTTGTATATCCTGGGTACATACTCAAAAAGAAAATAGAAAACAGAAAATTTCTTATCTGGTGTGATTCATTGATGGCCTACCACACATGATACAACCAAATTGCTCTGAGGAATCCAGGGTAAGTCTGGCTTTTTTTTAAAAAATTGTGGTAAAATACATGTAACGTCAAATTTATCATGTTGATCATATTTAAATAAACAGTTGTGAAAAAGATCTCCAGAACTTTTTCATCTTGCAAATTCAAAACTGTATTCATTAACAACTTCCCTCCCCTCCCCTTAGCCCCTGGTAACCACAATTCCACTTTCTGTTTCTATGAATTTGACTTTAGATACCTCATTTAAGTAGAATTATGAATTAAATTATTTGTCTTCTTTCTAAGACTTATTTTACTTAGCATAATGTCTCGAAGTTCATCCATGTTGTAACATGTGATAGGACTTTCTCCCTTTTTAAGGCTAAATAATATTCCACTGTGTGTATAAACCTATATATGTATAAATATTTCATTTATCCATTCATCCATAAATTGACATTTGGATTGGCTCCACTTCTCAGCTGCTGTGATAAGTGCTGCTGTGAATATGGTTGTGCAAATATAAGTCTAGCTATTTTTAACATGAAATACTTTTATGCTTTAATTATAGTATCTTTATGTGTGAAATGCTCTTGGGAAAAAGTTGTTTCATGAATAATTATGTAGTCTAAACCTGTGGATCTTAATAACATTTTTAGCTGCTGTAGTAGTTTTAATTAGATCAAAAGAATGAAGTAAAATAGATCATAGACTCTACTAAAGAAAAATTTTGTGGTATATAAACATTTATCTCAGAAACAAAAAGTAAAATAATCTTTGCTGTTTTCTAAATTCTTGACATCACTGTCACCACAAACTCATCTTTTTCTAGCATACCTAATCCAAACAGCCACTCATCAGATGTCTACAATCCTGCTAAAACGTTAAAAATATAATCTTACTGTAGTATTAAACAAGTATTATCTACAAAACTCTAATTAACCAAAACACACAAAGAGTTGTGTTCAAATGTTATATGAACATAGTGTGTCTAAAGAGTCAGTTTAACGATTCCTTTTGGTTGACTTCTTCTTCTGTACCTCTTTATGCTTCTTTTTTTTCCTCTTACCACCTTCTTTGAATCCTGGTGAGAAAATAGAGGGATTCCAGTTGCTGGTGACCCAAGGTATACCCTGCTCATCATTGTCCACAAAGGTATACTGAGATACATGCTTGGGGCTGTAGGACTTTGGTGAATGATTGTTGAATGACTGTCTTCTCCAGCTGCATTCTTCTGCAGAGCTCTCTTCATCTGCCACACCATTTAAAAGAAAGGATTTCAACTCACCATCATCTTCATCTTCTCTTTCTTGATCATTCTCAAGAATTCTCTTTGTATTAGTATTTCTGTCATTAACAATTTTACCTGAGGTTGTAACAGATACGTAGTTGCCCATTTCGCTATCATCAAATGCCAGAGAAGAGAATGAATTAAGGCCCTCTTGGCCCAATGAACCATATGGTGTATATCCTGTATCATATGAAGAAAATCTCTCAAACACTGGGTATTCACTGGATGCAGAGAAAAAGGATCTTGTACCTCTGTTTCTGCTTCCATAGGAGCTTCTTGGATTATTTAAAAGTTCCTCAAGTGAGTCTTGAAAGAAATGAAGTGAAAAAGAGTCATTTTCACCAAAAATTTCTTTAAAGATATCATCTGGCTTACGGAATGTGAAGCCATACTCAGAAGAATCATCAAAACGACTCCTGCCTCCACCATTTAATCCTTCTTTGCCATATTTATCATAAATGTCCCGTTTTTCATCATTTGATAATACCTCATATGCCTCAGCTACTTCTTTGAATTTTCTCTCGGCTTCTTCTTTATTTTCTGGATTTTTATCAGGGTGCCATTTAAGTGCCACTTTTCGATAAGCCTTTTTAATGTCCTCAGGTGAAGCATATCTCTGCACTCCTAGAACTTCATAGTAATCCACCATGTTTTAACGATTGGAAAGGGGTAGTCTGGGTAGTGAGAACCGTGGTTTCCTCTCAGCTCAGGCTCTGCTGGTGGTGGTGGTAGAGGCAGTGACTGCAAATAGGCACATTTTTACATTGAAGACAGTGTTATTACCATGGGCCACTGCTAGGAGACATTAGGACACTGATTATGTGGCAAGCAGAGTTACAAGCTTATGTCAGAGAGGGTTGCATTATGGTGTCATTCTGGGGTTAGGATAGGGACCAGACCTTCCAAATGGAGCTAGTCCAGAGTCATACCAGACCATCCTTAACCCTCTGGACTACTTCCCCCATATTTTCCTGGAAGCCTCGGACAGTGCCTCATAAACCAGTGGGACCGGTTGTTGATGGCCGTAGCATTCCCCTTGTGTAATCTGACCTCTGGATTACTGAACCTTAATATCTTTCTTCTCAGTTCTTCCATGTTTTGGTTTGGAAAAAATGAAAAATTCATGAAGTAGGTGAAAAGGTTTTCAAGCAGTTGACATTTATTTCAACCTTAGTAGGTCATTGTATTAGTTTCCTGAGGCTACCGTAATAAATTACCACAAACTTGGTGGCTTAAAACAACAGAAATGTATTGTCTCGGTTCAGGAGGCCAGAAGTTCAAAATTGTATGTCAGCAGAGCTGCACTCCTTCCAAAGTCTCCAAGAGAGAACCCGTTCTTTACATCTTCCAGCTTCTACTTTTTGTCTCTGTCTTCATTCCTTCCTCCTCTTCTGTCTCAAATCTCCCTCTGTATTTCTCTTAGGACACATGTCATTGGATTTAGGACCAACCCAGATAATCCAGGGTGATTTTATCTCAAGTTCCTTAATTACACCTGCAAAAACCCCTTTTCCAAATAAACTAACAGTCCTGGGTTCTGGAGATTAGGACATGAACATATCTTTTTAAGGCCACCGTTCAAGACACTGCAATAATATTTTAGTGCACTGAGACAAACTTTGAAATAGAGCGGCAAAAATAATAGTCATAGAATAGTATTAGTGAAATTTCTATATGCATCTATATGCATTATATATATATACATACATATATATATAGATAATGGTCTGTGTATACTATGTTATTGTGTAAAATATAATTCTTACTGTGGGTCTTGGTTTTAAAAACTTGAAAGCCGCTACCTAATATACTGGCTTTAACTCACGGGTGAAGAAACAAGTGCAGAGGAATTATGCCAAGATCACACAGATAGTAGAATTAAACTAGAACTAGCGGGTTTTTTTGCTATACCATGCTGCCTTTAACTGTCTTAGATCGCCTTCCAGAGTGCATACTTAGTTCCTTCATTTTTCTCTATGTTCACCTCATCTCTTTTTCTGTTTCTTTCTGTTTATTATGGAAACATTTAAATATATACACAAGGAGACAGAGAAGTATAATAAACTCCAATGTACCCATCACCCAGACTCAATAATTATCAACTCATGGCCAGTTTTGTTTCATCCAAATCCCCATTCATCTCCCCAATCCACTTCATCCCTATATTTTGAGACAAATCTGAGATCATATCACTTCATCTGTAAATATTTCAATTTATATCTCTAAAGGATAAGTTTCTTCTTTTTTAACGTAACTGCAACACCATTATCACACCTTAAAAAGATAAATATTATTTCCATAATATCGTCAAATATACAATCACTGTCCAAATTTCCAATGATCTCATAAATGTAATAAATAGTGTGAATGGGTATTTGCTTTACAGTTTGTTGCTTGAGTCAGGATCTATATAAGGTCCACATATTACAATTGATTGATAATGTCTTTTAAGGTTTTCTTAATCTACAGATTCCCTCTTCCATCTCTTACCACCCCTACCTGCCTTGGAATTTATGTGAAAGAAACTGTGTTTGTCCTGTAGTGTCTCCCACAGTCTGGGCTTCTTTTTTTTTTTTTTTTTTTTTTTAACTTTTTTTGAGGGGGGTGGGTAATTAGGTTTTTATTTGTATATCTTAATGGAGGTTCTCGGGATTGAACCCAGGATCTCGTGTATGGTAAGCACACACTCTACCCCTGAGCTATACCGTGCCCCCTACAGTCTGGACTGTGTTGATTTGCATTCTTATGGTGTCACTTAGTATGTTCCTCTGTATTTTTTGTAAATTGCCTCATCTTTGTTAAACTTTCAATGTGTATAGACTGGGAATATTCCTTAATATGCCTGTACAATTTTTTCTTTTTTTAATTCTGTACATTTTCTAAGATAGATTCCAGGAAATACTTGTTTACTATTTTTCCTTTTTCTCAATTTCCACTGTTCTTACCTGTATTTTCATATTGCCTGAAAACCTGTACCATTTTCTCTGTCTTTTTAATTATTCAAGAAGTTCTCAATAATCCTCTGTGAATGTAAATTTAATTCACAGTTAACATTTAAGACTTCTTAACTCTTCAGATAACACACACCGTCATTCATACATCATAATCCCCATGGAAACCTTTAACTTGATCCAGACTTAACCACGTTCGGCTGTTGCAGTGATTGTATGTTCACAAGGAGATTGTTTAGTACTAATTGTGTTGTTGGGATTCAGCAGAGAAGATCTATTGAGCAGCAGGGTGGAGGGATAAGAGCAAAGATTTTGAAGTTAAACAAACCTGGGTTTGAATCCCAGCTTCCCCATACTGACTGTGTAGCATTGCACAAATTACTTCTCTGAGTCTGATTCCTTGTTTGTACCAAAAAAGAAGTGATGAAATGCCTCCCTCACATGACATTCCTTAATTTGGCAGACAAAGCCTTCAGTGGTCTGAGCCTTACTTGCTGACCTCTTCATCTCCCTCCAGCAGCAACACTGACCTGAAACTCTCCTTCTCTTACCCCTGCACGGACGCACGTGCACACATCAACGCGGTGCCTTCCATGCCTTCTCTTTCATGATCTTATTCGTGATACCTTCCCCTCCCCTTGTCGCTTTCACTTGACTAATTCCCATTCAGAATAGGTATCACCTACTTCTGCAGTCTCACACAAATGCCTCACGTGTGCTTCTCTGTTCCCCAGAGTACTGTGTGCCTGTTTGTTATTGTACCCATCCCACAGACTTTTATTAGTCTTTGCACTCTCAAAACCCTTGTGTATGAATCCACCACTGCGTTTACCATGTAGTATTGTAATGCTTTGTTTGTCTCACCTCCACAAGGCTATATATTCTTTGAAGGCCACAGCAGATAGTCTAGTCTTATTCTTGTGTCTTTTCCAGCATGTATTCCAATCACATGCTTAATAAAGCTTGTTGAATGAATGCTAATAATATTGCTTGCTGGGGGCTAACTGTGATTAAGCATTTTTCATACATTATTTTATCTAGCTCTAACATTCCACGATTGAATGAGATAGTGTGTGCATATTTTCTCAAGCTTCACATATTCTCAAAAAAAAGGTTAATTCTCTTTTTCTGAATGTTAGGACACAGTGTAACACTACCTCTGTGAAATACTTCCCAACCCCTCCCCTGCTTTTGTTTGTTGCCTTTCTTCATTTCCATCGCTCCTCATTTATACGTTAATCATAGTGTATGTATATATACCTCTATTATATTGTAGTAGACTAAAGTCACTAAAGGTAAAGATGATCTTATTTCTGTATTCCTAGAGCAGAAAAGAACCCAGGCTCTGGCTGGCACTGAGGAAGCGCCATGTAAATACTGAAGGAGATACTAATTTGCATTTTTCTAAAGCATCCTGCCGGAGATAGATAAATGTGTGTATACTGTGAGGGCTTTCTAGATACATTGTTCCATTTCATTCTGATTTTTTTCTCTTCAGGATGTATGTCATGTTCACAGCGAAGGTACTCCCTGCAGCCCATCCCAGAGAGGAGGATTCCAAACCGATACCTAGGCCAGCCCAGCCCCTTTACACACCCACACCTCCTCAGACCAGGTGAGGCCTTTTAACTGTAGTGACTCTCTCTCTCTTTGTCGGTGCTTTATCTAGAACTGTGCTAATAGAAATTTCTGCAGCAGTGGAAATGTTCTAGATCAGTGCTATCCAATATAGTAGCCACTATGTACAGGTGTCTACTGTATACTTATAACATTGCTAATGCAACTGAGGAACTCAATTTTTTGTTTTGTTTTATTTTATTTTATTTTATTTTAAACAGATACATGTGGCTACTAGTACTGTACTGACAGCATTGTCTAGAACAATAAATACAATAAGCCTTACAATTCAGAAGTATCAGTAAAAAAAAAAGTATGTATTTCAAGATGTTTTTAAAGAAAAATTCTGTTTCTTGTTTTTTTTTCTTTTAAATTTATTATTTTTTTTTATTATTATTTAATGGAGGTACTGGGGATCGAACCCAGGACCTCATGCATGCTAAGCACACACTTCTACCACTGAGCTACACCCATCCCCCCTCAACAGTTCTGTTACTTCTAAAACACAGTTTCTAGAACTGTATTCTAACTATTGATTCCTTGTGAACTACTTTGTTAAAGACATTTTAGAAAACATGTTTTTCTTGAAAGTGTTAAATGCTCACTTCAAAATATTAATAAAAGTGTCTCTACGTAGATTATGCAAGATTTCCAGATGTGATTGTCACAGCTTTGAGATGTGATTACAGTGATAAAGGTGATGCAAAAAGTTGATAAAGGTTTACCTCATTAATTTTTTTTTCTACTGTAAGATTCCAGTGTTACTGCTAGAAGATATATCATCAACTATTGCTCAAATTCATACCTAAAGGGTTTTGTTTTGTTTCTTTTAAAAAAGACAGTTAAGGGATGAACTATGGTGAGTAAAGATCATCCCAAAGAGGTAGGTAAAGTAAAACCAAATGCTCTGTAGAAAAAACAGTCAGGTTTTCAAGGGAGATTAATTGTTGCTTCTGCCATGGGAAGTTAAATGTGTACTTACTATGTAAGTATATATAGTAATAATCGAAATTGCCTTTAGAAATATGTTGCTCTTTCACTGTCTCCACTCAGTGAATGATACCAGTGTGTCTCTCAGTGAGGGCTTCCTTTTGCTGATTCTTCATCAGACTGGAATTCCTGCTGGGAAGTTGACTGAGACTCAGGAAATGCAGCTCACCACTGAAACACACAAGAAATCAGAGGTTTTCAAAGCTGTAAGGTAAGCTTACTAGCAATACAGTAGATATTAATTTAAGTATTTCTCTACCCAATCAACCTAACTGTAGCTTCAATTTTTTTTTTAAGTAGAATTGATACTGAGTTTAACCAGCTTTGAAAATTACTGATTTCTCGTGATGAGATACTTTTACATGGTGAGCTGCATTTTCCAGGCCTTGAAACTAGTAACCATATTGCCAGTATGATGGCTTCTGTATCTAGAATGTTTGTTATTTGTGTTATGTGCATGTTAACTATGTAAGAAATGAATGCAAACAAATACACACACATACATGTTCATACATATGTTCATATAAACTACAGGGATAGGGGAGGAATGTCTGCCTTAATTTTTATTCTCTTTGATAATAGGGTTTTGGGCATTGAGGTAAGTTAGAAGGGATAAAAGTAGATAGAATTTTAAAACAGAATTATCAGTGTTAAAAAAACCATCAGATACAGTTTTTGTCTCCAAAACTGTGTAAGTATCCAAAGTATTAATCACTTGTCTTTCTCCATGTAGAGATGCAAAACTTACAGAAGTGTTAAAATAATTGAGGGGTGGAGGAAGAGTAAATTATTAAGAAAAATTAAGAGGCATGTAATACTTTTTAAAAAAATCTCTTTAACAAAGCCAAAGTCAGTTTGTTAGTTTGGGGTATAAAATTATGTCTCTATTATGGGGTTTGCTCCAAAAGGTTTCATATTTGGCATATTTTCCAATACTTGCCAGTACTTTAAACTTTTGAAAAGTATCTCAGTCCCTTTCCTAAATATTTTACAGGTTCCATGTATATTATAGACAAATTGGAGAATACAGATAAGCATGATTTCTAAAAAATTACTCATAATCCCACCATTCAGACAAAACCACTATGGAGATTTTAGTATATGTATCTTTCTAGACTTATTTCTTCTATATATTGTGTACATGTATACACACTGTGTATACTGATCAACGATTTCCTTAGAATAAATTCCTAGAAGTGAAATTACTGGAATTACAGTTCCTTCTGAATTTTGGGGAGCTGTTTTCCTTGGATTTCTTTTGGCCATATCTACCCAAGTTTCCTGAAGCAACAGTAACTTGGAAAATATTCAGCAGAATGACATGGGAGATAAAAGAATTCTGTGCGGGCTGTGATTACAACTGCTTTAGATGGAAATAGAGTTAGATTGACTCCTCCCAAGTCCTCTTAGTGATTTTTAAAGCTTACCCTTTTCTTAAAGAAATCTGAGCATCGTAGACCATTTCTTCTTTTTATGACATTGTCATCTCTGTTAAGAATTGTGTCTGTAGAGACAGAAAATGTCAATTCATCCTCCTTGATCATTAATATGCCTTCCACTTATTATCACCCAGGGGAAAAAGTGATTCCATATAAGAAGGCAAATAGCATTCTGAGCTGTATACTATTACGAACCGTGAACCTCCTCACCCCTCCCCACCCCGACTCCCCCGGCTTGGGCGAAGGAAGGATTTATTACTTGCAGCAAAGTAAGGAGAACAGGGGGTCTTTCCCAAGGCGGTGTCACTGTGAATCTGCTTTTTATAATATCTGTACAAGAAAGACACTTATATAGTTCCCTGACATTGTAAGATGTTCAGCCCCATAAACAACTCCCTTCCAGGGAATAGAAAGAATTAGTGCCTTATGCATTGTTTCCAAAAAACTTAATTTCTAAAATTTTTACCTTCCTGAACAAAATTAATTTTGGAATATGTGATATAATTTGGAGCTTAAGAAAGGGCTATTCAAAAAGTTGGGCTTGTCAGAATGACTTGTCTGACATCCAGAACCACTTCTTAGTTTTCTGTCAACTACAGCAGTGAATAGATTCATTGAGAAATAATCAGAATACAAGTGTGTGGCCCACAACTTGAGGGAATGCTTTTACCATGTACCTTTCTTTCCCTTTTCATCAAATAATGGCTAAGACTATATAGTTGTCGTCAAGTATATTTTAAATGATGAAAAGATTGATTCTAGAGTGGGTTGTAGATAATAATTCTCAAATCTCCTTCCCATAAAGGTTTCAGAATCAGTTAGGTATCCATCTTTCAGTGATAATTCAGTTGTAGTTCTGCCTTAAGCAAGGGGTGTATTTTTTTTTAAGTTTTGTTAAACATGATTGACTTTAATAACTAAAAGATCAAGACTTATTTTGGTAGGGTGAGGTTTTTATAAACATTAAAATATATGTCCAAGAAATAAAAAACTGAAAGTGACTTGAATCTGTCTAGACCACTGGGTGAGCTTTTTCAAATTATACATGCATGCCAGGATCCCAAAGACTTGCTGAATCAGAATCTCAAGGGAAAGGCTTGGACCATGTGTTTTGAAGTGCTTCCTGGGTGTTTCTGATGCATGCCACTAGCCTAATGGGTCCTCACTCAGCTGGGTACATGGGATGCCTACTGACTTAAGGAGGCAAGCCAGATCTTTAGTCACAGGCCATGTTTTAAAGCAGAGTGTGCCCTCCCCATGTCTCTCTGATGTCCTCATCCCCAAACACTCAGTTCTTAAATCACCACCACCAAACATTTACTGAATGATTACATTTATCTAGCCATTTCAAAACACATTTTGTAGATTATGCCTGATAGGCAGAGTAGTAGTCTAAAAAAGTTTTGTATTCTAGAGTTTTTAAATTTAGACTTATTTTTTCCTAGATATTTCACCTTGAAGTCTACTTGTTTTTATAAAGTAATATATATTTTTCCTACTCCCTGTGTACCTATGGAATTTTTAAAATAAGTATATATTCATATTGACATAGTTATATATTTTCCTCTCATCTTCATCTTGTGATTAGATTTGAATGCAGAGTAAAGACTGGAGTCTTTACATATATAAGTTTATAGGTGAAAAAAACTGTATTTAACTTGTATATATGATACATGTTGGCTACTCATTTCAAGGTACCATTATACTGATAACTAGCTTATAGAAATTCCATAAATTGCTGTCTGGTGCAGAATTACAGAGTATTTCTCTTTTTTTAATACTAAGAGGAGAAAGAAAATTTTGAAATATATTAACTTTCATGTGGTTTAAATACTGGTACATTAAAAATATATACTTGTCTATTTCTCTCTTTAACCTTTGTGCATATTTCTCATTTGTATCCAGAAATTCTCTGTGGTAGAGATTAGCAAGAATCTGCCCCAGAAAAGAATTTTAAAAAAGCTCTTGAATCACTTGAAACTCATTCTTCTTGTTGTGTGAAAAAGCCAGAGATGTTCAGGGGTTTTATGTAAATAATTATTTTGATTAGGGATAGTGGTTGTCCCTGCAAATTTTACTGTTTCAAGATCCTGCCTAGCCTTGAATTACCAGAATGACAACCTCTTCAAATGTATATTCTTTATTGTGGTAGTAATTATAACTAATATTTATATAGTGCTTACTGTTCTAAGTATTTCATTAACTTCTTTAATCTTCCTGACATTTTGTGCAGTGGGTGCTATTACTATCCATTTTATAGATGAGGAAACTGAGGCACAGAGCAGTTTGGTAGTTCTCCCTAAGTCACTCAGTAAGTTGTTAAGCCAGAATTCCAACTCACAAAAGTGTGAGTCCACACTTAACCACAAAACAGCACATAACACTTGTGCCAAAGAATACGATCTGGGAATTTTTTTGAAGTCTCTTTTTGTTATAATATTTTTGGTAAGAAGTTCAACTGAGAGAAGTCTTAGTGTAAAAATTATTTCAGCTTTAGAGTTGTCTCTTGGTATCCACTGGTGATTGGTTCCAGGACCCCCTCAGATATTAGTATCTGTGTCTGCTCAAGTCCCTTACATAAATTGGCGTGGTATTTGCATACGTCCTCCTGTATACCTTAAACCAGCTCTAGATTACTTATAATACCTAATACGTTGTAAATATTATGTAAATAGTTGCTCTTGCCCAGCAAATTTGAGTTTTGCTTTTTGAGACTTTCTGGATTTTTTTTTCCCCAAATATTTTTGTTCTGTGGTTGGTTGAATCCCCCAGATGCAGAACCTGTGGATATGGAGGGCCGACTGTACTTTTTAAAAATGTGGCAAAATTTACATACAGTGAATTGTGCAGTTCTTAAATACACAATTCAGTGAGTTTTGACAAAGGTACAGCTATGTAACCTGTGCCCTGTTCCAGATGTAGAGAGCATTTCTGTCACCCTAGAAAGTTCCTTCATACCTCCCCAGTCAGTCCCCACCTCCATCCTTAACCGCTGCTCTGTTTTCTATCAACATGATTGTTTTGCCTATTCTTGACTTTCATGTAAGTGGAATCATACAGTATGGACCCTTTCTGTCTGTCTTGTTTTGGTCAACATATGCAAATAAAATCCATTTAGAGTATTTTTAAGTTATTTATTTGGTCATTTCATTTTTTCAGAGGGGTCTGTTTTACTTTATAAAGGAAACAGGTGTTAGCTTTTTCTTTACCCCCCATACCATACAGTAATAGATCATTTTATGAACTACTTCCTTATATACAATGAAAACTAACTAATACTTAACAGAATTCAAGGACACTGCTTCAGAATCAGACCATGTTAGAATCCTAACCTAAGTTAGTTTCAGAAAATAATTAACATACATACCTAGATTGTAGCAAAGACTTGCATGTTTTCATCCATTTTCAGTATTTATAAAACTTTCCTCTCTGGCTTTTCTCCTTGGCTGGTAAAATAGGAAAAACATTTTTCTTACTCTCTTGAGAGGCCCAGTCGTAAGTGTCCTGGAAGAGCTTTTCTTCTTGGCTGCAGAATCTCAGAATTGATCGTGGAACTTTGCTGTTTGCAGAGTCCAGACTGTGACATCTAGGCATTTGATTGGTTAAATAAGCTTATTAGAGTAGCCCCTCTATCCTTAATTGATTCCACTTGATGAAATACTGACTTTGCTTCTTAATACTTTACAATTTGACGAAGTTGCCAGAATGTCTATTTAGATATAGTTTTATCTGAAGAAATTCAGGCTAGATTGACTGTAATGTTTAGTTCTGTGATCAAAGGCCAAAACAACTGCCAGGTTTACCTCTAGGGTTAAAGTTCATTGCTTTATCACTTTTCCCCCCCTCCTTCAAATGATAAGAAAAGGTGTGTTTTTCCTTGGATAATTTTTCTGTTGTGACCAAGAGTTCTTTGTTTGAAATTTCAGAAGTTTGGAAACATTTAGTTAATTATCACTCCATAGTGTTTACAATTAGTAAGCTTGGGGAAAATGTAGCCAGTGTTTTAAATATTTCTCATGTAGTCATTTGTATGAAATTAGATTTAGCAAAGAGGAATGCTTTGAAGGGTGTAAAATATGGTTTTGCAATCCCTGCTTTGATTTCCAAATTTTTATCTTTTTGCAGAAGTTACTTCCTAATGTATGTATATGTATACTCTAATGAAAATGAGAGATAATACATAGGTTAGGGTCATTAATACTATGGGTTTTCTTCTTATCTTCCAAAGTTTGAAGAAAACACACAAAATGAATTGATTTTTTTAATTTAGTTTTATTACATGGACTGCAGCAAAATGCAGGAAAGGGAGAAAGTAGAAAGATAAAAAGGAGAGATTGGATAACCACCAATTATAACCAGCCTCTGCTTTTATAAAAGTATTTACTACTTGGGTAAATTGGGAAACTTCCAATATTGAGTAACAGTGGCAGACTTAACGTGAATATTTATCAGAGAGATAAATAGTTAAGCTGTTCTTTGCTCTGGTACATAGTTCAGCATTCTGCTCAAGAGCCCTAAGGGACTCTTAGCCAACTCAGTCCTGCGAGAAAGAAATGTGGTATGAGCTCTTCTAAGACCGACTCTGTTGCTTTGCCTAATTCAAGCTGACCAATTAGGCCCTCTCTTACTTATTTCTTTTATTTCTTATCAGCCTCCTCAATAAAAATGTAAATTTTTCTATTATAGATAAATAAAAGTTAAATTGAAATTATTAATGGGTCACAAACTGCAGAATTTTCTGGAGAGATAAACTCTGCTTAGGTAAAACAACTAGACAGTTCCAAGGTAATCATAAAAAGGGGGGAGGGGATAGCTCAAATGATAGAGCATGTGCTTAGCATGCATGAGGTCCTGGGTTCAATCCCCAGTACTTCCTCCAAAAATAACCTAATTACCCTACCCCTCCCAAAAAAAACCCGAAAAAATAAAAGTAAAATCAAGCCCATTAAAGAAAAAAAGTAATCCAAGGTAATCATAAACAGCTGAGTTACATGTACTGAACATGAGTACTAAGAAAACTTGAAGGACTTTGCTCCAGCAGTTTCTCTCCTGGGACTATACCATGGAAATAAAAGCTTCAGTATATAACGTATGAAAGTACCCTATAGGTGTAACTACAAAAGTGTTTATTATTGCAGCAAAAAGCTGAAAATAGTATGAATGCCCACCAGTATGGCAATGGGTCAGTAAGTTATGATAACCCCAAGAAATACTATGGAGACATCAAGCAGAATGAATAGGAGCTGTGCCGGATGACTTGGTGGGAGGGACTTCTATGAGATATTGTTGTGTTAGAAAGCAACATACAGAAAAGACTGTGTAGTATCCCATTTTTGTGAAACACTAGTGACTCAAAAAACCCTTAATGCAGGTGTATGTGTATGTGATTGTATGAGTATTGAGAAAAATAGGAATGGATACATACTTACAAACAGGGGCAAGGTGCTATGTGGGTGGAAGGAGGGAAGGGGAGTGAGGACTCAAACAACAGAGGAAAGGGGGATAAATGTTTAACTATTGAAAGAGTTCAGTGTGGTGTGATTACATTTATATACAACTACAATATAGAGAGAGAGAGAAGTGAAGAAAACTAATTTAAAGAAATAAATCAACATGATCTGGGCTAATCAAGAAAGCCTTTTGAATGAGGAAAGTCTAAAAACAAACATATATTGAGCCCAGCATCTTGGAGTGGAATTGTTGTGGAGAGATAAGAAATTTTAGAAAGGGGACACATTGTAAGCAAAGTCATAGGGAAAGAACAGATTGGAATGACTTACATAAAACGTAAGAAGGAATTAATTTCAGAATAATTGGGAGAATGATAAGAAAAAAGTTGGACAAGTCACCAAAGACCACATGTTGTATGATTTCATTCATATGAAATCTCTGCAATAGACAAACCCATAGGGACAGAAAATAGATTAGTGGTTGTCAAGGGTTGGGTGGATTTGGAGGAAACAGGGAGTAACCACTGATTGGCATGGAGTTTCTTTTTGGAATGATGAAATATTCTAAAAATCAGTTAGGGTGATGTTTGCACAATTCTGCAAATATACCAAAAATACCATTGAATTGTAGATTTTAAGTGGGAGACTTATATAGTATATAAATTATATCTCAGTAAAGCTGTTACCCAAAAAAGTTAGCCAGATAAATTGGAGTGACCTGGTAGAGAACATTAAGATCTAGGCTTAAGAGTTGGAATTTGATCTAATGGACAATAAATAGACATTTTTAGGCTATGAATATGGAATAGACTATCCATGGCTTCTCTTTTTTAGTTTCTTTTTTCTCTTTATATTTGTATTTTATTTATAAAAGTATATACTCATTGAAACAAAATTCAAATAATATAAAAAATGTTGTTAAATAGAAATTTTTAATTTATCTCATTCCCATAGATTACCACTATAATATTATGATTTTTAAAAAAAATTCTTTTCTCTCTCTCTCTTTTTCTTTTTAACATAGATAACATGGTGTCCATCTTGCTCTTTATGTTTTTTTATACTGCAGTGTTTCATGGCTGTCTTTCCATACTTGCACATGGAGACTGGCTACTGCCAGAGAATAATAATAGTATCCCACATCTTGGAGTCATTGTTAAGATTAGACGAGTTGGTACATGTAAATAATTAGAATAGAACTAGACACGTATTAAGCATTCAATAAGCATTAGATGTTGTTTTACTATTATTAAGTGTAGGCTTAGAGATACAGCTTTTGTGTGTGATTGTTTAATAGTTCTTTTCTTTGGAAACCTAAAGTGAAAGCAAGCATAATCTCTATTTCAGAATTGAAGCATTCACCCATTCATCACTGAGCTAGCAGCCAGGCAGTCTGCTAAATACTAATGCTAAGAACTAACACATAACACTTCATAACAAAACTTCTTAATATGGGTTTTTTTGGATGAGCTGAAGGGAATCTGAGACTCTGAAAACAGTATGTCAAAAATTTGTATGTGCCTATGTGCAGTTTAGTAAACAGAATAAGTCCATAGCTTATCAAAGATTCTATAGGGCATCTTTAAATCCTTAAGAACCATATGCTTTATCAAATTTGATTCTCATGACAGCCCCAAGAGGTAAATAATTACTAGAGTTTTTGGAGGCTACAAAGATGGCCCTGACCCTCAGAGAGGTTATGTATACCCAGCTCACTGGTAATACAAAGTAAAAAGTAAAAAACTCTATTAGAAAGGTATTATTATGCCTTAGAAATTCAAAAGGAGAAATTTATTCTAGCTCTTGAAATTGGGGAGAACTTTTTGGCCTTAAACACTGTTACATTAAAAACTATAGCTCATTTGACAAGTATTTATCAAATGCCCACTAATGTCAGTTGTTATTCTAGGCCCTGGGAATATAACATTGAGCAAATAGATACAAATCTATATCTTCATGGAGCTTGCATTCTTTTAGGGAAGTCATACACAGATAATGTGATCATTCTCATCACCTTACATATTAAAATTTAACGGCAACTTGGATTATTTGACTAACAATGCCTTCCACATAGTAATATATACAAATATTGGATTGAATGAGTAAAAGAATGAACCAAAAAGCTGGAAGAGACCTTAGTAGGTCATGATCCCAGTTTTCAGGCAGGACCACATTTAACTATCATTTCTTCCAAATTTTTGCAATGGAGTAGAAATTTGAAACCTGGATTATCCTTAATTTGCCATGTGCTATGAGGAGATTTGGTATAAATAGAAAAAATGAACTTAGGTGTCTCCATCTGGTATTAAGCTATCTTAAGTACTTTGGCACTATAGAAATACGAAACATCATTGTTTGTCATTTCTAGGGGAGGTGACACCAGGACTATCCCAGGTGGAATATGCACTTCGCAGACACAAACTAATGTCTCTAATCCACAAGGAAGCACATGGGCAGAGTGGGACAGACCAGACAGTGGTTCTACTGTCCAACCCTACGTACTACATGAGCAATGATATCCCCTATACTTTCCATCAAGATAACAATTTCCTGTACCTGTGTGGATTCCAAGAGCCTGATAGCATTCTGGTCCTTCAAAGCCTCCCTGGCAAGCAGTTACCAGCACACAAGGCCATTCTTTTTGTGCCTCGGAGAGACCCCAGTCGAGAACTTTGGGACGGCCCCCGATCTGGCACTGATGGAGCAGTAGCTCTAACTGGAGTGGACGAAGCCTATACTCTGGAAGAATTCCAACATCTAGTACCGAAACTGAAAGGTAAGTGGGAACGGAAGTCAAATCACAGGCCATATTGTGATTAAGACCTTCCTTGCCTATTTAAACAAAGTTCTTCATTTCATAAAATGATTATCATAGCAGCATTCCGTGAGCACCCTGGAAAGAATGTAAATCTTTTCCACAGAACTTTAAAGACTTCGTGTATTCATTTGCTAAATCTTCATTAGATTATTCATCCACAGAGACTGCTAACTGTCCTACTTTGAAATCCCAGAGAGAGAATTTTCTTTTAAAGTGGAGAATGGGCATGGGCCACTCTTCAAGATCACTGACTAGTCTGTTGACCTTTGACTACTACTTCTTTTGCCAAGTCTTCAGAAAAAAGGCATTATTCTCGAAAAATTATCTATTCATCACCAGCATCAGAATCACCTGGTGATGCATACTAGAATTACTAATGCATGATAGGTACTGGAAATGTAAAATCTGAGGCCCTCACTCTATACCTCCTAAATCAGAATCTGCTCTTTACAAGATTCTCAGGTGGTTCATATAAACATTTGAGTTCCTGCCTCTCAAAATAGTCACTTTCCCTACATTTATTCTGGTGAAATTATGATCACTCAATGTTTTGGTACTTCTTTTCTGGAACTTTTCAGAATATACACTACATT